GTTTGGTTGAGGCACCAGAGGATACAGAAGATTTCTAGACAAAGAGACTCTTAAAGGTGCAGAGTCTAGTGTCTGACCCTCCTTCTTAAAGGGCCAGACACTCTCCCCAGCCCACCCCTTTTCTTCCCCGGGATGTGTGAAGTAATTCTGAGCGAGTACTGCTCACTCTGAGGCTTACCTTTAATATGCCTCACCGCTCCAAAGAGGCCTTTTCCACTCCTGCTTGCTTTGGGGGTTTGTTATTTTCTTGACGGCGAAGCAAGCGGCAGCCAACGAACCCTGGAGTTCCCGAGGCAGCATTTGCAAAAGTTAACTCTTGGCGCCCAGACAGGCACACACGTGTGGACTCTTGCCACTGATGACCCAGGCGGGATTCAGCTGTTTATGAAAATCCTCTTCAACCGGAGGATTTTGATCGTTGCCCCCAAATGGGGACTAGGAAATAAATCAGACCGAGGTGACAGTGGCCCTAAGGACTTCCGAGAAGGATGAAATCCATTCTGAAACAGAAAGGAAAGACTGGCTTGCAAGGTAGGCAAGCTTCATGGGAACACTTCCTGACAGACCTTGCGGGGAGGATCCCTCCAAATAAGATAAAAAGTGTTACAACACCCAAGACAAGGCTAAGAAGGATAAAGACATTTTTAGCTTAAGAAAAACAAAAGGAAGTAAATGTATATTATATGCTACAGTGATTCAAGGCTTTATGTCTATAAATAGGAAATAAGGAAGCAAAAATGGCAATCATTAAAAAATAAAGCCAAACGTGGTAATCAAAGCAATCAGGAGGCAGAGGCAGGAAGATGGCATTAAGCCTTAGGACTCTATAGACTGCATGGTAAGTTTGGGAGTTTTGGATAAGTAACAAGACCCTGTCTCCAATGTAGCATAGGAAGAGACTGAGGCCCTAGGTTCAGTTCCTATGGTGGAGGCCATGTTACCTTTAACAGTTCTGTTTATGGAATTTTAAGTTGTAACTCCTTAAGTGAATGTAATAATAATTTTTTACAGCTGTTTTTCCTTCTCTTTTCCCAGTTCCCAACAGCTTTCTTAGAGAAGACAGTTAAGTGTCTTACTCAGAGTTCCTAACAAGGTGCTTTTCAGAGTGAGGACTTTAAGAAAGCTGCGTGCTCAGAGTAGCTAGGAGGAAAACAGTCGCACCACCGTGAGCACACATTACACCTGTGGTTCCCCAAGTCTGTGCCCAGGGGAGTGCATAGGCTCTTAAGGTTCTTACAGAGGTTCTCTGAGGCCCAAACTAGTTTTAAAATAATATTGGAAGCCATCGGTCTTTGTTGTGGGAATGTCATTTGCACTGACAATAAAAAAGGAAGGGCAAAGCTCAGTGGGTAAATGTACTTGCTGCTAAGCCTGCCTTCCCAGTGTCCTCCCCTGGATGCACACAGTAGAAGAGCACAGGCTTCTGCAAGTTGCCCTCTGACCCCTGCACAATAAGCACAATACACACACACCCACACACACACACACACACACACGATTTAAGGATGATGCTGTCGAGATTGTTCAGCCTATGAAGCACTTACCACCAAGCCTGACATCCTAGATTTGATTCAGGGACTACAGAACCAAGCCTGACATTCTAGATTTGATTCAGGGACTACAGAGGAGAAATAATCCCCAACACTGTCCTCTCACAGCAACATTCGGGTACCTAGTATTATAGCAGCTCCTAATCCAGCCTTCTCATCCCTTTAACTGGCAGCCCCAGCATGCCTGTCACAGCCCCAGCCTTGCCTTTCCTACACAACCAAAGATTCCCACTGTTAGATTTAGCTCCAGGACTCTCCACATTTTCCTTTTAAAGTGCTCTCTCTCTCTGTGTGTGTGTGTGTGTGTGTGTGTGTGTGTGTGTGTGTGTGTGTGTACCCACACCACAGTGTGCCGGTGCATATTAGGGAAAAGTACACATGTGGCATGCTACACCGCTACACCGGCACCTGGTGAAGTCAGCACTTTTGTGGAGTTGGCTCTCTTTCCACCTTACGTGGACTGAACTCCGATCACTTGGCTTGAGTGGCAAGTACCCTTACCTGCCCACCCATCTTGCAGGCCTTAAATTCTCTTATTTTTGATTTTTTAAGACACTGTCTACGTAGTCCTGGCTGTGCTGGCACTCACTATGTAGACCAGGCTAGCCTCAAACTCAAGAGTTCCTCCTGTCTCTGCCTCCTGAGTGCTGGGATTAAAGGTCAGCTGGGCTAAATTCTCTTTTTAATGGACTCCAAGGACAGTTCAGTATAATTTAAGTTACCCTTAAAAATGAGCCTATATGCAGGTAGAGATGGCTCAGGAATTAAGAGTGTTTACTTCTAGAGGAACCCAATTCAGTTCCCAGCATCCATGTCAAAAGGCTCACAATTGTTTATAATTCCAGTTGCAGGTGATCCAATGCCCCCTTCTGGCTTCCTCAAGCACTGCACTTACATGTACACAACACACACACACACACACACCTTTGAAAATATTTTCAAGTTTAGCCCTGCTATGTGATTGGGCCTGGGATGACTAAGTTGGAAAACGAAACAATGCAAGAAAATGAAGAATCTTTGCCTTGGAACTGAGGAGACAGCTCAGTCAGTAAAGTCCTTGCCTGGCACATGAGCACCGAAGTTCAATCCCCAGAACCCAGGTAAAAAAGGCAAGTGTAGAGGACTATGTGTGGAATCTCAGATCTCTGAGGTTTACTGGCCAGCCAGCCTGGCTGAATCGTAGCCCCAGGTGCTAGTATGTATAAAATGATGACAATCACTCACCCTTCCCCTTAAATTTATAAAAATAATCCCAATGTTCACACAACTTAAACCTTCAAGAAGTTATGTAATGACAACTGTGCCCTACAGTATTCTAAGAAGCCCCATCCAGACTTGCACATGAAAGCCAGATGACACACTGGCCTTCTCAGCAGTCATAGTTCACTCTGCTGCCTCTGCCAGCAGAGCCATTATCAGTTGTTGTGTTAGCCAGTTTCCTTCAGTGTTGTGTTTCCATTCATTGACAAGGATGAAGCAAAGTACCCATGTAGCAGTTCTTCAAGCTTGATCACATGTCACTAGGTTTAAAGCCAGTCAAGTGTGAGCTCAAATGGAAAAGAACCAAATGAAGGGACTGAAGAGACAGCCTAATAGTTAAGAGCACTTGCTACTCTTACAGAAGACCTAATTCAGTTCCCAGCACCTCCATCTGCCCATAACACCATATCCAGGGAATCTGATGCCCTCTTCTGGCCTCCAAGAACACTGCATGCACACACACACACACACACACACACACACACACACACACACACACACACACACACACACTAATAATTAAAAACAAAATCTTAAAAAAAAAAAAAAGCTAAAATGAAGAATACCAGAAATGTGCAAGCAAGCCAACTACAACTAACAAGATGTTGACTGTGTATGCTTCTCTTTTATCTTTTAGGACCTGAGCCGCTTCTTATGTAGGAGCCTAGAGTCCATGTTTACCGCATTTAACTTCAGTGTTTTCAGGAGTATGTATGTTCAAAATTCTGTCTGCACATTGTCTCATCCACAAATGATTTGAGGCAACCTATAGAAAGTTCAAAGTGGACAGACTGCAACAAGACCAGATATGGAACAGAAGGCCAAAATGTAGTATTTGTAAATTTTATTGACACCCAAAACATACCTCAATTTTTGAAGTGCTAATAAAATAAACATTAACAACAAAAGCAAAGGGAAATAACAGTGACCAATATGGACAACAGATCCTCCAGCCAGGAAGGTATACTGAGCTTCCCTGCCAGCCAAAGCTAGGGTAAACATGGGCAGCGCCTCACAGCTGATGTAGAAACAAACATGCTCTGGAAAGTCTGCTTAGCTGTCCTCTGAGGACCACGCTACACTTTGTATATCAGCAATTTTCCCAAGCCTACCTATATGTATCTCAAATGCTAGCCTGGTTCACTGCTTCCGCAGCAGGTGTGAGGTAGGGTAAGCAATGGTATCAATGAATGACTTCAAGGCGCAAGTGTGACAAGAGGACAACTTGTGAAGTACAATGCAGAAGACCCTAAACAAACCAAGAGTGGAGAGTCAGGAAAGCATGCCTGCAGTGATTTGAGCAACTCTCTCTCTGCTCAGTGGACTGTGAATGTGGAGCCAACAAGTGTGCTTACATCCTGTGGTAAGAAAAACATTGGGGTGACCAAACAATAAGACATAAGAAGCCTAGTTCATGCTAATCCTAGAGTTAATTCCGCACCTGGGGACTGAATGCCCCTGAATTATTAAGGTAAGAAATAAAATGTGCTTTTAGCTTTGCTACAGCAGCTTAGCCTATGGGTTCACACAATGCAAGCCAGAAAGGGAAACTATCAGAATTCAAAGGATGAAAGCAACAGTCCAACTGACTTGGTTCTCAAATCTCTGCAGCCAACAAGCCAGAAATCGAGAGCAATCCAGTCATGTCACCCAACCATCTCCAGGAGAGGTCCTCAAGCTAAAGGGGGCTCCACCCAGCCCAGCCACACTGCACAGTGTGGCCACTGTGGCCTATACCAAATCCTCAGGAACAGGGGACACATACTGTTTTCACCTTCAGTGCTGGCAGGGACAACCCTGTTCTACCTTTACCCTACAGCAGGAAAGCCCAAGCTTCTCCATTCTTCACAATTACCATTCTTGAAGACAAGCCAAATCCAGTTAAGGCATGAAGTAAAAAACAGCTGTGATGGGGTCAGGAGGGGAGTCCAGAGCCCCAGAACACATGCTACAGCTGGGAACCAGCTGGGGCCAGGGACAAGGACCCTGCGTACAGCACCTGTTCCTCCTGGGCAATACCCTGGTGACAGCTTAGATGGGGGCAGCTGCCAGTCACTAGCGAATTCCAGCCACTGGCACTTGCTGCTGTTTTCGGATCTTGTTGAAGAGTTCCATGTACTGTATCATGGTATCTGCTGGCCCGTACACAGCATCATGTCTATTTCCAAATACTGTGGGGGGCCCTGGTGTGTGGCTAACTAGAAAAATCTGTAGGAACTCAAGCAGGAGGCTCCAGCAGTCACTAGCCACCACACAAGGGCCATACTCCACCTGGGACAGAAGAACAGACAGCAAGGGTAAGGACAAGGATGAGGCCTGTTTCACTCTTCGCTCCCTCCTCCTGCCACTGCTACCACTGAAAGTCACAACTGAAAAGATTTAGAGAATCTGGGCCCTGGAGGTTCCTTAAAACAAACAACAACAACAACAACAACAACAAACAAAAACAAAACAAAGCAAAAACCTGCCATTAGATCATTTTCTGAACTACCAAGGATGCTCCCCAGACTCACTTTCCTCTGGTTTTCACTTTGCAACAGGATCTAACTGTGCAGCTCAAGCTGGCCTCAAACTCAGAATCCTCTGGCCTCTACTTCATTAGAACTGAGACAGGAGGCATGCACCAGCTCTCCCAGCCTTGGAGCTCCTTATTCTATACACTGCTTCACAGGAATGTCAGTCACAACTACAGTCACAAGGCCTCTTGACAGCCTGAATCCCTTAGCCAAATGCCTTTCAGGGCATTTCTTTTCTTCTCTTTCTCTCTCTCTCTCTCTCTCTCTCTCTCTCTCTCACAGTCTCCTTTCTCTCCTTCTTTCTTCTCTCTCTCTCTCTCTCTCTCTCTCTCTATTTGTTGTTGCTGTTGTTTTCAAGACAGAGTTTCTCTGTGCAGCCCTAGCTGTCCTGGAACTTGCAGGTTGTGTTTCAGCTTTGCTTGCTTACTAAATGATACATTTCAAAAGACAGGCTCTGCAAGCTTATATCTGTTATATCTTATTTTTGAAATCTCAGTTAATGCTGGACACATGATAGGCTTTGGACTTTCACTTCTAAAGCTATCTACCACCATATCCCCCATATATCACCTTCAATCCATACGTATTTAGGCTCAAAGAAGAAGGCTATCAGTCAATGAAGATGCTTGCCACCAAGCCTGATAACCTGCATTCAATCCCTAGGGCCCAATGGTAGAAGAAAGACCTGACTGCTCTGATCTCCACACACGTGCTGTGCATGTATACACCACGCCAGCCATAAGTAAATGTAGCAAGTTTTTTGACTAAAAAACAACTAGATGAAGGCATCTCATCTGGATATTCTTGCTCACCATGAAAACTGACGAATGCTGAAAGGAAAGTGTAGTTTTGTTCCACAGCTCTGAGGCCTCTCATAAAACATACTAAGAAGGGGGTACAGGCACATGACTGACATCCCACCTCCCAAGCACCCTTCAGAAAGCTGTCTCTCCCAGCCCTTCCTGGGAAGGGTGGTTGGCATCTCTGCATCCTTTCTCCTTGGCTTTCCTGGGTTGTGCCTTCAGCCTCTCTAACCTTTGACCCGAGTGAACCCACGTCAATCCTAGGCCAGAGACGGAATAGCTAAAGAAGAGACAGAAGAACCCTAGAGAGGTGCTGGAGAGATGCTCAACAGTTAAAATCATGTGTTGCTTGCTCGTGGGACTGGGGTTGGTTCCTAGCACACACATAGTGACTAACAATTTCTTTGCCTCCAAATCCAGGGCATCAACCAGATGCCCTCTTCTGCCCTCTGTGGGCATTGCACACATGTGGTACACAAAACATACCCACAGGCAAAATACCCATGTACACAAACAAAAAAATAAATCTAAAAAATTTCCTAGAGAAACAGGCATGGTGGCTCACTCCTATAATCCTAGCACTTAGTAGGCTGAAATAGAAGGATTGCATGAATTCATGAACAGGCTACAGTACGACTTCTCTCTCCCCTTTTTTCCTCTCTCTCCCCTTTTTTCCTCTCTCTCTCTCTCTCCTCTCTCTCTCTCTCTCTCTCTCTCTCTCTGGTGTATGCTGTATGTTCAGCACCACAAAAAACCAGGCCTGGTGAAATACACCTGCAATCCTAGCACTCAGGAGGTGAAGGCACAGAATTCAAGGCAAATGAGACTGTCTTATAAAAATAAATAACATAAGAAAGAGTATAGTATAGTGGTACACTCCACAATCTCAGTGCTTGTAGGCAGAAACAGGAGGACCATAAACTTATCATCCTTTGCTACACAGTAAGTTCAAGGCCTGAGATATGAGTCTACCACCCCCCCCCCAAACAAAATATCCCTATAGTAGAGGCAGGCGAGATACTAAGTGGGGTGGGAAAACTTCCAGAACCCTTACTGTGCAGCCCATAGCATATTCTGCTTGTCCTTCCCCAAGGTCTTACCTCCACAGAGATGCCATGGGCACTGGGACCCATTGTGACTGTGCCCTCCTTCACCAGGAAGTCACAGTACTGGTAGCAAGTACCCCGGGTCTCAATCTTGCTGGCCTTGGCACTCGGGAAAAAGCCCTTGAGCTTCACCATGAGCACATCGAAGTTGGTGTCAGCAATAAGGCAAGGCCCATTCTCAAAAAGGGCAAAACAGCTCAGGGGGTACTCGGAGTTATGCATCACGTACATCAGCTTCCCAGCCTGGCCTGCAAGGGACAGATGGCCCACTCATGATTAGGACTGTGTCAACATACCCCAGGATAGCTCAAGTGCAGCAAACGAGACCAGTTGGAAGTTGGTACCCTGGCAGTCTGAGAAGGGAAAGGATCCTTAAATGCTACCCTTTTCCAGAGAAGCCAGGCATCTGGAAAAGCCAGCCCCACAACAAGGGCTATACACACCTGAAGAGCACCAGGGGATTCTCAGGGTGTTGAGAGCAGTTGTGTGGTGAGTTCACAGGTGGCTACTTTATCATGATGATTAGTAATCCATACAGAGACTCTCTTCTACCTTATCATCTGTAATAAATAAAACTAAGGGATGGTGGTGTTGCTTGGCAACAGGTACTGGCCTAGCCCTAAGTTCCAGCCCCAAAACCTCAAACATAAAAGTAAAACTAAAACAGAAGTAATAACATCTGGTATATAACTCTGGACCTCAGCTAATGCCTCCTTTGAAATCAAAATGCTCTTACAGAGGCTTTGGAATAGGGAGCACAGACGGCCACAGCCATGCTGAGCTAAGTGTGTCTTTTTGCCATGCCTTAAAAAGCTGGCAGTTGACTGGGCATTGGTGGCACACACCTTTAATCCCAGCACTCGGGAGGCAGAGGCAGATTGATCTCTGTGAGTTCAATACCAGCCTGGTCTACAAGAGCTAGTTCCAGGACAGCCTCCAAAGCCACAGAGAAACCCTGTCTCCAAAAACCAAAAACCAACTAACAAACAAACAAAACAAAAAAAAGCTGGCAGTTGTTGCAAATGTTAATGCACCACTGGAAAGCAGAGTGTACCATGAAGGAACTTTAGCTCTAGGACCTGAAGCTATGCTCCTCAGCCCCTTCCCCGTCTCTGTCAAATGAGTTTCCTTTAGGATGTACTGTTGTCTAGTTGGTTAGATTTGGTTTGATTTCTTTTTCTTTTCTAAGTTTATTTTTATTTCATGTTCACTGGTGTTTTGCCTGCATGTATGTGGTATGAGGGTGTCAGAAGCCCTGGAATTGGAGTTACAGAGAAGTGTGAGCTGCCATGTGGGTGCCAGGTTGTGGGTTTCTCCCTGCTTATCTCCTGCTTCCACACAGCTACCTCACTTCCTGTCTGTCTATAGAGACCTCCAGACCTCTATGGCAAGCAAGTGGCAAGCTCCATTCTCTGACCTTCAGAGAGGCTTTATTTGTACAAGTCAGATTATCACCACAGCAGGTCCTGTGGAAGAACAGCCAGAGCTCTTAATGGCTGAGCCATCTCTCCAGCCATCCCCTCCCCCTTTTCTTGTTTTGTTTTTAGACACAGGGTTTATCTGTGTGGCCCTGGCTGTCCTGGAACTCCTGGAACTCACTCTGAGGACCAAGCTGGCCTCGAACTCAGAGATCCACCTGCCTTTGCCTCCCAAGTGCTGGGATTAAAGATGTGCACTACTGCCACTCAGCTTGGTTTGATTTTTCTAAACAGGGTCTTGCTACATAACCTGGAATGTGACTATAACTCCCTAATGCTGGAATTACAAGAGTGTGCTACCAAAGCTGGCTTGATTTCCTTGTCACTTATTGTGTGGTGCCAGAGATAGAGTGTGCAAGACTCTGGGATCTAAGTTAGTGCTCTCCACTCAACAGCCCAGCCCACTCACTGATTCTACTGGTTTTCTAGACCCTTTTTCTTCAAAGACAGGTTATTAATATTAACTATGTATCTCTGGATAGCCTGGAATCCACTCTGCAGACCAGGCTGCCTAAAACTCAAAGAGATCCACCTGCTTCCCAAGTGCCGGGATTAAAGGCATGCCCCACCACGCCTGGCTTGCACCCAACTCTTAAAGTGGATTCTAAGGATCTAAACTCTAATGCTCATGCTTGCAAGATAAGAAGTTTACCAATGAGGTCGTCTCTCTAGCTCCCCAATTTATTTTTTTAAATTTACATTTATTTATGTTGTGGGGCAGGGGCACATGTGTGTCTTGACCTGTACGATTCAGAAGAGGGCACTTAGGAGAATCTGTTCTCTCCCTCCACCACGTAGGTCCTGGGGATAAAACTCAAGTATCAGACTCAGTGACAAGCACTTTTACCTGCTACACTGTCTTGTCAAAACCCCCTCAAAAAAAAAAAAAAAAAAACAAAAAACAAAACAAAACCCTTTTTAAAAGAAGGTAAGGAGTCCACAACATAAAACAAAAGTGGCTCAAGCCTATAATGCTAGCACTGGAGGGGCTGAGGTTGGGACTGGGAAGAGCTACAAAAGGAGCCCTAGTCTCTAAATAGATACACATTGCAGCTCTTGTGTACTCAAGAAGCCTAGGCAGTATAATGGTCTCAAGTTTGAGGCCAGCCTGGGCTACACAGAAAGTCCCTGTCTAAAAAAGATAAATAGGGCTGGGAAGATAACTCAATGGGTTAAGCTCTTGCTGCCAAGCCTGACAACCTGAGTTTGATCTCCGAGACCCATAGGATGGTATGAGAGCCCCAGTGGCTGCAAGTTGTCCTCTGACTTCTACTTCCTTGTTAGAGTCCATGTATATACACATACGGAATAAAAATATAAATAAACACACAAAGCTACTTTAAAAAATGGGAATAGGGGCTGGGAAGATAACTCAGTGAGAGCCTAAGTTCTAATCCCCAGCACCCAGGTAAAAAAGCCTGGAGGGCTGCACATGCCTGTGACCACAGCACTGGGAGCAGAGTTAGATGGATCCCGAGACTTCAGTGGCCGGCTGAAAGCTACACAAAATGACGAGCTTCCAGTTCAGTGAGAAGTTCTGGCTCAAGGCAATCAGGCAAAGCCATAGAAGAAACCACCCCACATCCAACAGCCTTCTCTAGCCTTCACAGATGTGGGCATGCACCCACACTCAAGGGCATACCCGCTGTCCCCCCCCCCCCCCCCACCAAAATAACACACACACCAACACACACACACACACACAATGGATGGATGGATGGATGGATGGATGGATGGATAAAAAGGGTCTAGTTAGTCGGTTGATGGTGGTGCACGCCTTTAATCCCTGTACTTGGGAGGCAGAGGCAGGAGGATCTCTATGAGTTGGAGACCAGCCTGATCTACAGAGCGAGTTCCAGGACAGCCCAATGCTGTTACACAGAGAAACCTGTCTCAAAAAAAACAAAAACAAAACAAAAAAGGGCAGGGGGGAAGTCTGGTAATGATAGTCCTAGCCCAGCATGCACGAAGACCTGGGCTCTATTCCCAGCACTACATAAACTACATGTGGTGATGTATACCTAAGATCCTAGCACTGGAGAGGTAGAAGCAGAAGGATCAGAAACACAAGTTACAAAGCAAGTTCAAAGCCAGCCTGAGCTACAGAAAGCCTCATCTCAAAAACCTAACTACTTAATATAAAATAAAAATTTAAAGAGTGATTACCTGAAAGGGACAAGAAATTTGAGACTTCAGCATAAGAAAAGATCAAAGGAAAAACAAGACTTGGAGGATGTGGAGGGGCAGGAAAGATGGTATTCTAGCAGGGAGAAGAAGCTGTCGAGATGGCTCAGCAGTTCTGAGCACTCACTGTTCTGTCAGGAGACTAGAGTTCAGATCCCACTCCCACACTGGGCTGCCCACAAGTGCCTGTAACTTTAGCTCCAAGGGATCCTACACTTCCTGCTGGCCTCCATGGGCATCCAGATACTCAAAGAAAATAAAGCTGGGTATAGTGGGGCACTTCTTTAATCTCAGTACTTGGGAAGCAGAGGTAGGCAGATCTTTGTGAGTTCAAGGCCACCCAGGCCTACATAGTAAATTCCAGAACAGCCAAGGCTACATAGTGAGACCCTGTTACAAAAAAAGAACCCACAAAATTAATGAAGTAAAACAAATCCTTTGTTTAAAAAGTTAGTGATGAGGGCTGGGGAGATGGCTCAGAGGTTAAGAGCACTGCCTTTTCTTCCAGAGGACCTGAGTTCAATTTTCAGCAACCACATGGTGGTTCACTAACATCTGTAATGGATCTCATGTCTTCTTCTGGTGTGCAGGAATGCATGCAAGTAGAACACAATATATATATGATATATGTATAAAAAACAAATAAATAAATATTTTTTTAAAAGTTAGTGATGGATAGAGGGGAAAGATGGCAGGAGTTGGGGAGTTCAGTGCCTCCCTGTATTGCACTGGACTCTCTACTGCCACCTGCTGAATTTAGCAAGCTCTGCATGGAACCATCTATGCACTGCCAATTCACACTTTTCATCTCTTCAAATCCATTAGCAGCATGTCAGCCCTCAGAGTCACACTCTAAATTATTTCACTCTGTTCTCAGGTCTACATACTTTAATTACATATAAGATTCATACTACATGAAGCTGCACTGCCTTGAAATTTTTAAAAAGCAATTAAGGACTTTGTGTGAGTAGAAAGGGGAGTTGCTAGGGATTGAACTCAGGGCCTTATACATGCTATGCAAATGCTCTACCAGTGAGCTAGCATCAACTCTTAGGATATTGTTTTTAATATTTTATTTTATTTTTTTAATATTTTATTTTATTTTTATGTATATAACTGTTTTGCTTTTCATGTATGTTGGTGTACCAGGTGTCCATAGAGGGCACTGGGCATTGGATTCCCCTAAGACTGGAGTTTAAAAGGTTGTGAGCTGCCATGTAGGTACTGAGAATCAAACCTGGTCCTCTAGAAGAACAGTCAGTGCTCTCAACTGATGAGCTATCACCTCAGCCCCAACACTATTCTTTAATAAAGAAAGCACTTCTGGTTGTGCTAGACAATTTTTGTTTCCCAAGAAAGGTTCTCACTCTCTAGCCCAGGCTGGCCTTGAACCCAAGTTCAGTTCCCAGTACCCATACCCACCTGTAAGGCTAACTCCAGGGGATCTGACACCACGGGCCTCTAAAGGCACCTGAACTCAGGTGCACATATCCACACACAGGAGCACTAGTGCGCATATCCACACACACACACACACACACACACACACACACACACACACAATTAAAAAATTTTAATTAAACAAGTAGCTCAAACTGCAATCTGACCACCACAAATAGATGCCAATGACTATGAATAATTGTAGGACTCCAAGCCGGGTCCAAACATCTGCTCGCAGTCATCTACTGACCTTGGCTGCCCAGGGTGGAGGCAGCTGTGTGGTAAGTCTCACAGTCCACACAAAATGTTCCTTGTTTCTCTGCCCCAAGCATCTCCAATTTCCTGGTGAGGAGCTCCACCGTCTGCTGGACACTCTTGCCCTCAGCCACAGGCATCTGGGACACACTGAGAAACAGAACAGTCAGCAGTGTCCAGAGACAAACATGCTCTGGCTGAGCCACTCATTCCCAAATAGTTACCAGATCAACAGGACTAGGAGTTACTTTAGATAACACTAACTCTGATCCTGCCCCTTAAACTGAGAAAGGAAGAGGCCCACAGTCCAAGAGTTCCTTTAACAGGCAGAACACAGGTCTCAAGTGTCTCACACAGGGACATGGAACTTTCTACCACATCAGCATTCCCAAGTAAGGTACAAATACCAACATTAAGTGTTGATTCTAGGTAGCACACACTGCACACATTCAGTGTCACTGAGTTGTACAGTGGATGTGATTGATGGTTTACGTGCCAACATGACAGGACCTAGAAGCTTGGAGATAGGGTCTTACAATGCCGCCGAAGATGATCTGGAGTTCACTGAATTAGCCTGAGCTGATCTCACTCTTTTAGCAATCCTTCTGTCTCGGCCTCCCAGGTGCTGGAATTATAGGGGTATACTTGGCTGAGACCTATTTCTTAAACAAACTCCTGACCCTGTCTGTGAGATTCTTATTTAACTAAGGTGTGGATAAATCAGCTGAGTAGGACACCACACGTGCTCTCGCGCACGCGCACACACACCCAAACACACACACCCCCACACACCCCTACCTACCTCTTGACTATGGACATAATGTGACCAGCCACCTCATTCTATTTAAACTCAACTAGTGAGCCAAAATAAACCCTATCATAAGCTGCTTTTGTCAGGTATAGAGCCCCAGGAGGCTGGTGGATAATATTCTGGACATTGTGGACAGAACTTTCCCACTATCACAGAGTTCCATTTAAAGGCACTAAGAACAAAGAGAACGCATCCCTCGAGTGTATACGCCTAGAAAAAGAGACAATAGTCGTTTCAAGGACCAGTGAGCAATACATAAAACAGAAGAGTCACTAAACTGACACTGTGACAGAAACTCTGTGATTTTGAGAGAGTTGAACCGATACTAGTAGGAAGGGAAACCTTTTCTCTGTATAATGAACCCTAGGCAGGCAGGCATTGGTGGAGCACTCCTGTGATCCCAGGATGCAGGAGTCAGAGGCAGGTGATCGACAGCCCATAAAAACATATACAGAAATGTTTTATAGGGCCCAGTGACTCTGCTGTGATTTCTATTTTCACTGCTGACAGGTACTTTTTACGGTGTGATGAGGTTGAGATAAGGCTCCTGGTGTCAACTAATTTGCACGTATAGTAGTCACTAAAAACCCTGCAAGAGCCTGGGTTTCCTGAAGAACATCCCACACACACATTATACAGAACAGCTGGGAAGACACACACCACTACCAAGATTTTTTTTAACGTGCTGAAGCCTAGTACTTTGGAATTAATGCCCTGAAGAAAAGCACGGTGTCCAGACATTACCAATCACCTCTCTTTTTCCAAGTGAGATTTAAAACACGTTTCAGATAAAAAACAAAAAAAAACCCAAACCTGACTCAAACATGTAGGAAGTGATTCTTGGATAGTTAATGTGCCTGGAACCCCGACCTCCAAACCTCCAACAGCTCCTTTTCCTCTCCCTCTGACATTAGACCAAATTAAAGCCAGGCTATTATTACTGCAAGCAAAATGTAAAAGTCACTTTCTCCTAGAGCGCCCCCCTCTTTTTTATCGCTGCCTGCAAATAATTCTTAGTGCGAAAGCCTATTCCCAACTTTTAGGTCCTATTGGCGACAATACTATGGCCTGACGGACATGAAGAAGTACCAAGAAAAAGAAGGTACGACTCCTGACAGGTTCCTGGAATGAAGAGTTGGCTTTGCCAAAAGGATGCGCCTGGGAAGGAAGAAGCACCACACGGCGTCCCTTGCTGCAACACGACCCGAGGACATCTTTGTCAGCCCGCGAGGAACCGAGAGCTTCCGTCCCGATCCCCCTCCTGGGGCCTTCACGACCCCAAGCTCCGTCCCACAAGAGCCCCTGCAGTCCTACCAAGTCACTCCCATGGCGCAGGGTCAAAGGGGTGGCACTGCCAAACACTCGAAGTCAAGGGATCCAGAGGCCCCTGGAGGTAGAGCCGCCTAAAGCAGGATGCAGGCTCCGGAAATACGCAAAATCTGAGCGCCAGAGCGGTACACCCACAGAAGGGAGGCGTGCCCGGGCGCTCCAGCGATGAACGAATTCCGTCATCAGCCCGGCTCCGCCCCCAGGGCGCGCTTTGCTTTGACAGGACCTCTCAGGCTACATTCATGAATTCTGTCTGGAAAAGGTGACTTGGGACATCCACCCACTTCCGTACAATGAGATTACCTGAGAATCTGGGGAGTCCAGCTCCCGCCCCGGAGCTCCTGGAGAGATGGCGGTATATGAGGCACTTCCGGCCTCCGAACGCTGGGGGGCGCTGTGAACTCTCGGTGACCTCCCGAGCACCGGAACACAGGGCGCAGACACAGTCCTAGTTTTAAACCGGCTTCCCACGTGTGAGTAGCATCGGCAAGTTTTTCGAGAAAAATGCCCAAATTGAAGGTGGCCCGCGGGGCCCGGAATCAGGAGAAGCATGCACCTCTGGCCGAGCAGATTCTGGCTGGGAATGCAGTGCGCGCGGGGACCCGAGACAAGCGGCGGGGACGCGGGGTTGAAGAGGAGGAAGAGTATGTTAGACCCCGGCTGAGCAGACGCATTTTGCAGCAAGCCAGGCAACAGCAGGAGGAGCTGGAGACTGAACACGGGACTGCAGACCAGCCTGCAAAGCCACGGGAACGCGCCACGCGGCTGGGTGAGTGACACGGGCTGGAGTGGTGGCATGGGCCGGACTAGCTCAGTCCATCCGGATACGGGTTTGGAATTACAAAGAGGAGGCAGTTTTTCCTTCCCGCGTGGTCCTTCACTTCAACGCGTACCTTCTGGAACCTACCTCAGAGTTCCAACAGGAAGTAATCACTCACACCAAGTTCCAGTATTTATTCTCTGGGCTTGTGAAGTATGACTGTGTTTCCTGTGCAATGCTTTGAACTGTGTTAAGAGTTCAGGCAGTTCTAAGCCGGGCGGTGGTGGCACACACATTTAGTCCCAGCACTCGGGAGGCAGAGGCAGGCTGATCTCTGTGAGTTCGATCCACAGAGAAACACTGTCTTGAAACCCCCCCCCCCAATAAAAAAGAGTTTAGGCAGTTCTGATACCGAAATAAACAATGTACTCGTCCTTGCTTTTAGCACCGGAAGTCTACCCCAAGGCAGAGAATATTAAATAGAGTAACATATTCCAGCAATGAGCAGCGATGCTCGCCTGTAATCCCAGCAGGTGAGAAGCTCAGGCAGAAGTTAAGGGACCAGCTTCCCCTCTGAGGCAGAAGAAGGCCCTCGTGGACTACATAGTAAGGTCCAGATCAGCCTGATATACATGGTATACCTCTATCGATCGAGACAGTAAAAGAAAATGAATATATTCCTATTCAAAACAACAACAACAAACCCGCCATTAATTCAACAGGCCAGGCACCCCAGTTTTGTGCCCTGCCGACTAAGATATAAAAAACATGGGAAATGTTCCATTAACCGAGGCAGGAAAACAGTTTAGAATCGAGTGGGGGTGGGCGGCAGAGATGAGTGGGAAAGTACCTGATACTTGTCTCATTGGGAAGGTTGACCTCCAGTTTCTTAGTCTTGCCTTCTTATTCTAAAAGCAGTATTGAGATGATTGAATATGGCTTTAGGGCCATAGTAGCTTTACTTCCTTGTTTTGAGGTAGGGTCTCATTCCCAGGATGGCCTCAAACTCTGTATGTAGGTGAGGATGACCTTGAACTACTGATTTTTGCCTCTGTTTTTCCAACTGATGGCAATATAGATATTTGACACCACACCTGCCCTTAAATTTTTGTTTTTAAATTACGATACTGTGTCTCCTTAAGTTACTCATGCGGGACTTGAACTTGCTCTGTGACCAGAGCAGGCCTGAGTTTTAGGTTTTCCTGTGTTGCTGTCTGCAGATTCCGGTTTGAAACCATGCATTTGATGACTACTCCCAGCTTTTTCTCTCAGACATAGTTCTTTCAGTAAACTAACATCCCTATATCCACCTGTCTACCTGACATCTCACTGCTTGCTCCATGGAGTCTCTTAGCACATTAGCCTCCCCTTGCTCAAGGCTCCTCTTTCTCATTCTACATCAGGTTTGTCAGTAAACCCTGATGATTTGTGTCTTCAGGATATATCCACTTCCTTAGCTTGGAACATCCTCCTGTTTGAGTTCCCTTGAATCACTGTGGGAGCATCATCATTTACTGTTCTCTAACGTCTGTAATCCATTCGTCAGCTAGTGATCAGTGACAACCTGTTGGGTCCACCTCTGCTGACCAGATGCTAGGGAGGTGATGAGAAAATTCAGTTGGTGAAATACATTCAGCTAGTGATCAGTGACAACCTGTTGGGTCCACCTCTGCTGACCAGATGCTAGGGAGGTGATGAGAAAATTCAGTTGGTGAAATACATGCTTTGGAAGCAAGAGCCCCTGACCTCAATACACAGCAGCTCGTAATCCCAGAACTAGGGGGTTGAAGACAGATTTCCTGGTCTACATAGTGAGCTCCAATCAGCCAGAGCTACACAGAGAAACCCTGTCTCGAAAAACAAACCAAAAAAAGGCACTTATTTTTTCAGAAAGACGAGAGTTTGGTTCCAAGTATTCACATGCCAGACCACTGCTATCTATAACTCCAATTCCAAGGGCTCATATGCCCTCTTCTGACCTCTTTGGGCACCAGGGACATTTATGACTCACAGGCATACACATAAAATAGTGTATATAAGTCTAAAACAAAATTAAAAAAAAAAACCAACAAAACATGGGTCTCGCTGGACATGCTCTGCGTACTCTCCTGAGCTATGTGTACCCTTAGTCCAATTCTGTTGCAAATGACCTGTTGTTATATAATATTTCAACTCCTTTGGTTTGTTAGACTCTTCCAGGGTCTTTGCCAGCTATGTGTGGTGTTTCAAAAGTCAGCCAGGTGTATTGGCACGTGACTTTAAATCTGAGCACTAAGGAAGCAGAGGCAGACAGATTTCTGTGAGCTTGAGCAAGTTCCATACCAGCCAAGGTTACATGGTCAGACCCTTGTCTCTCAAAAACAACAACAAAAACAAACAAACCAAGAGTTCAGTGTTAGAATTACAAACATGGACCACACTGTCTAACACTTGGGAGGTAGAGACAGAAGAACAGCCTCAGGGCAACACATAGACTAATAGAAATGGGTTAATTTCAATTAAAAAGCTAAGCAGAAACAAGCCTAAAGCTAAGGCCAAACATTCATAATTAGTAGTAAGACTATGTCATGATTTGGGCTCTGGCAGTCCCAAGAAAGCCTGCTGCTCCGAGTCTGTAACTTCACATGTATATATTGGTTGATTAGAAACCAAATACCGCTGCCTAGCCTTGGGGCCTTCCCGGTTGGATGTACTTTTCCTTTGTGGTCCTATGGTCCTATTTCTGGCTCTGGCTTCTTAATGCCCAACAGTAATATTAAAGTCCTTTTCTAGGATATGAGACACACACTTCTTCCCAAATTGCCCATTCAAAGCCTCATCACCCTCTGCAGTAATCTAAGTGCTTGTGTTGCACCCTGCCTCCACCATGGTTTTAGTTTTAGTACATGATGTAGCTCTGTTGTGCAAGAGGCATAGTGGGGAAGAAGGGAAGGTTAGGACGCGAACTGCCTGCTATGGGCACATCACTTTTCTGTCCCGGTTTGACCTGGGTACAGGGATAGTGCCCACTTCTTGAGGTTGCCTGGACTAACCAGGTTCCATGTGTGTACTATAGGACGGATCCTTCTAGATCACTGGAGACAGCGTGTCAACCATTATTTATTAGCATCACTCTGTTTCGCGTGTTGTATTTTATTGCTCAAGATTCCAAGTCTCTGGGGACAGAAAGATAGTTTGTAACTCTCTGTTCCTTCCTTGTGCACATGTGTATCTCCAGCACCCTGGGCATGCAGTCCATGGCAGAAGTGGACTGACTCAGAAGCCCCATGCTTATCATTTTGTCTTCCCTTTGGAGGTCTGGGAGTGCCCCAGGATGGAACCGACGATGAGAATGAGGAATGGCCCCCCCTGGAAAAGGCAGCCAAAATGACCGGAGTGGACCACCAAGCAGAGGTGGTTGTGGACCCTGAAGATGAATGGGCCATTGAAATATTCATGAATAAGAACCCTCCTATGAGGTAGGACTTAAGAGTTGGGACAGTAGATCCTGGTAGAAAGTTCCCACAAGCTAGTTCCCTGGCCAGCTTTTGGTCTGAGTATTGCCAGCTACAGAATACCATCTTGGCCAAACCTTCTAAGTGGGCCTGACCCAGACTCCAGATAGCTCCTCTTTTGTCCATCTGATGGAGAACTTCCTGGATTACCCAGTTTGCTCTTGGCATGTTACTCTCAGACCTTAGGCTCCCTTTAATCCAGGGCTTTTGGTCTCAGCCCTGGCATTTGGGCTGAGTGGAAGCTAGAACCTAAGGATCTTCTGCAGCTGTTGCTGACATCTCCCCTCTAGTTTAAATGCTGCTTCTAAAACATGCAGGTGTTTCAGCTGTCTGTGGTCAAATTCTTGGGTAGATGTGTGGGGGGGGGGAATAAGTTTAGGGCAAAGGGCCCTCATCTAGTTTATTCTGACTCTGCATAATGAATGTGTGGCCGTTCTCAGTTCTTCCGAGTGTGGTACAGTCCGTCTCTTATCACGAATGTGAAGTGGGGACTATGGCTTGAGTGTGTAAAATGCTGAGAAGAGCCCTCCCAGATGGATTCTGACAGCTCTACTAGAGTTCACAAAGTGTGGTTCATGTTCCTATCCCCAGATGGCTCCCAGGCCCACCTCATATCAGCTCTTTCATGATTCCGACAATCTTAGCAGATGGGGTTCCTTTTTCTGGTGTAAGTGACAACAGTAGAAAGGGGGCTCTGAGTTTCTGGGCCCTTGGTGCTGGCATCTTCAGAACCAGGTCAAGGTCGTTGGGAACACAGCCATCAGAACATGTTAACTATGGCCCATGGGAGGGACTGTGAAACACTGTCAGACGGTATAACCTGGGGCACATGAAAGAGACTGTGAAGCACCCAAACTAGAGGTTGAAATTTCACCTTGTCCCCAATAATGCCTTAAAACCTTATTTGGGTTGTTTACCTCTGAGTTTCAGGCCTCTGTCTGTGTCTGGAAATAAAAGCATTGCCCATCAGACGCAGCGGTGGCACATGCCTCAATCCCAGCACTCTGAAGGCAGAGGCAGCTGCATCTCTTGAGTTCAAGGCCAGCCTGGTCTACAGAGCTAGTTCAAGGACAACCAGGGCTAGCCAGAGAAACCCTGTCTTGAAAAAAAAAAAAAGCAGGCAGCCTTCTGCCAACATCTACTGCAGACCATAGGACACAGATCTGGAAGTCTGAACAATGTTGCCTGGAGGCTAGAACCCAGGGCCTCATCTAAGCTAATCACTGAGTGACACCTCCAACTGAGGGGCAACTTTTAAGTATGTATCAGTGACCTTAAAGATGCCATGAGCAAGACTATAACCTGCTATGATGGTAATAATGTTAAAATTTTCTTTCTTCGATTTACTTCATTTATATGGGTATTTTTCCTGTATGTATGTATGTATGTATGTATGTATGTATGTATGTATGTATGTATGTATGTATGTATGTATGTTTGTTTGTATGCATGTATGTATGTATGTATGTATGTATGTATGTATGTATGTATGTTCATTGATGCCCTTGAAACAGTAAGTGCGATTAACCACTGAGCTGTCTCTCTAGCCTCAGGCTATGGTAATTTTGAATCCTCATTTGATGGCTTCTATTTAAAGAGGCTGAAAAGGTGAGGCAGCAAAATGGCCAGGCAGGTGAAGTGCTTCCTGCCTGACTGACCTGAGTTCAATCCCCAGAGCTCACTTCAAGGTGGAAGGAAAACTCAGCTCCATAGAGTGGTCTTCTGACTTCCACATGAGCACACAGCAATAATAATCAAGCTGGAGAGATGGCTCAGTAGTTAAGAGCACTGTCTGCTCTTCCAGAGGTCCCGAGTTCAATTCCTAGCAACCACATGGTGGCTCACAACCATCTGTAATGAGATCTGGTGCACTCTTCTGGCCTGTGGGCATACATGCAGGCAGAATACTATACATAATAAATAAATTTAAAAGAAAAAAAATAATCAAGTTTAAGGAGCAATTGAAAGAGGCTGAGGAGGATGCAGTTGGTCTTAGGACTATTTCTGTGAGTGGGGAGAAGGTGGTGATGTAGTCTCCTCAAAGAATGAAGCCACCTGGAGTCTTAGCAAGGGATGGAGATGTGTGGCGTACCCACGAGGCCAGAGCTCCAGTTTGTACTCTTGATAGTGCTCACCATTCTGCCAGCAGTTTTAGGTGTGTTTGAAGTAGGCAGCCTTGGATGCACACTGACTCTAGACTGATAGTACCAAGTGCTGCACGTGCAGGCTTTCATTTTATCCTTTAGTTGACTGGACAAAGTATTCCTAGTACTGTCACCGCTTTATAGCTAGGAAACTGAGGCACAGAGGAGTAAAGTGACAGGCCCAAGATCATACAGGGGAGAGAAGAGTGACACCTGAGCAGAACTGACATCAGTCCAAGGACCTAACCTCCACTCCACTGCTAGCTTTGTCTTCAATGCGGTGACATTCAGGTTCTTCACTGTCTGCAGTAATTTGTGAAGTTTGTCGTCATCCAGAGGAGTTGTAAGTTGGTTGCTTATAGCAGCATTTATGCTAAAACTGGAACAATATCACAGACTAGAGTGACCCCTGTGCAAGGGTGACATGCTAGTTTGTGCAGCATTCCTGATTTGTTTGGGGACTGTTTTGTGGCTCCTTTTTTCCTCTGAGACAGTGTCTTACTACGGAGTCCTGGCTGACCTGGAATTCCCTATGAAGACCACCACACTGGCCTTAACCTCACAGAGATCTGCCCAAGTGTTGGCCTTAAAGGCTCGTGCCACTATGGCTGGCTGGCTGTCTTCTGTCTGTCCTTCCTTCCTTTCATGAACAGGGTGAGGGGACTTTAGAGCTTCCTGGAGAGTGACCCTAGTTCTTCACCCTTGTCCCCTCTGTCTCCATAGGCGCACACTGGCTGACATCATCATGGAGAAGCTGACAGAGAAAGGACTGAGGCAGAACCAGTGGGCTCAGGGTCTAGTCACTAAATTCTGGTCACCTGAGAAATGAGCCTTTTTGGGTTGCTCTGAAGATAAGTGAGGCCGCGCATGAAAACGCAGGGACGGGGCCAGGACCTCAACCGTGGGTGCTGATGGCTCTGCCTCCTCCATCTCCAGGTGTTATCCAAGGGCCGAAGTGGGAAACTGCCCAAGGCTTTTAAGATCATCCCTGCACTGTCCAACTGGGAGCAAATCCTCTATGTCACTGAGCCTGAGGCCTGGACTGCAGCTGCTATGTATCAAGCCACCAGGTAGTGTAGATGGTCTAGGGCGGCTGATCTGTGGTGCAGGGTGTGGTGAGTAGACTCTGCCTCCCTCAGCCATGTCATTGGCCAGCCCATGGCTCTCTCCCTTGGACTTGTTCCTACTACTCCCTTAACTTCTCCTCCTGTGTTTTCAGGAAAAAGTCCTGTGGTAGACTTCCATGGGAAGGGCCTACATAGCTTCCAGGATACAGCCCTGGTGTGAGAGAGTAGCTTGAGAATTCTGAGAATTCTCCGGTGACCTCAGGTCCCTCAGGGTGGAGAAAGGAGAGTAGCCAGCCAAAAACTAGACTGGGAAAGAAGCTCGAGGTGCCTTGCTTAAATAATCGAGGTGCCTCGCTTAAATAATGCACAAAAGGCCATGGGGCTAAGCAACAGCACTGTCTGAAATACACTAGGGGCCAGGCAATGGTGGTGCACACTTTGAATCCCAGTACTCAGGAGGCAGAGGCAGGTGGATTTCTGTGAGTTCTAGGCCAGCCTGCTCTGCACAGTGAGTTCCAGTAGAGTCAGGACTACACACAGAGAAACCCTATCTCGAAAAACCAACAAAAGAAAAATGCTAGGTCTGGAGAGGTGGCTCAGTGGTTAAGAGCACTTGTTCTTCTAGAAGACCTGGGTTCAATTCCCAGCACCCACGTGGAGGCTTTCAACCATCTCTAGCTCTAGGAAATCCGATGGGTACCAGGAACATATATGGTGCACAGACCTACTTGCAGGCAAAGTAGCTCCTCTTTAAGCTGACCTGGGTGTGGTGTGCATACTGTTATTCTTTTGTTTAAATTAGAAATGAAGAAGAGGCACAAGATGAGACATGAGACTAAGATGTATTACCCAGTTTATTATAAGCCCGGTAGAGTAGAGACTAAGAAAGAAGAGGAACGGGGTTAATGGCTGACCGCCATGACCGGTTGCCATAGAGAGGCAGAGAGAGCAGAAGAGAAGAGAAGAGAGTGTAAGTGGGCAGGGTCTGTCTTTTAAAGGGTTCCTCTATACCACCTGCGTGCAGACTTAGTTCCCATGGAACCCTGGGCTTACCAGGGTACTGCCTGAGTGGATTCTGCCAGGTGACAGAGGCAGGCCAGCATAATGCCTGAACCTTTCACATACCACTTCACATACCCCTCTCTGAAGTGATGTCCCCATATCTTACTCTAAAACCTCTCTCATGCATGGTGATACTTAAAAGGCCAGGGCCAGACTCTTGTGACTTGCAAACTCCCACCTTGCTAGGATTTTTGCCTCTAATCTGAGAGAACGGATGGCTCAGCGCTTCTACAACCTTGTCCTGCTTCCCCGAGTACGAGATGACATCGCAGAGTACAAACGACTCAACTTTCACCTCTACATGGCACTCAAGAAAGCCCTCTTCAAACCTGGAGCCTGGTTCAAAGGTAAAAACCCAGAATTAGGAGAGAAAGGAAGGGTCAGTACTCTGCTTGGCAACTGGCTATCTCCACTGTTGGTCCTTAGATGATGGGCTTGCTGGGTACTAAAAGTCCCTGTATATGACTCTGCCTAGGAATCCTGATCCCATTGTGCGAGTCTGGCACATGTACCCTCCGAGAAGCCATCATCGTGGGCAGCATCATCACCAAGTGCTCCATCCCTGTGTTGCACTCCAGGTAGTGTTGGTGAGGTCGGTGGAGAGTCATGTAGTAGAGAGGCCAGAACTTTGGCAGGAGGGCAAGAAGGGAGAATGAGCTATGATTACCTAGAGTCTGTGGCTATTTAAACCAGCAGGTATATGATTTCCTCCAGTAGAATAGAAGCCTTCGAGGGCAGGATCCAAAGACCTGGCACACAGTAGTTGTTCAGTAAATAGTTGTTGAATGACGGCATGAATGAATGGATACCTAGAAAAAGGTGTGAAAAATGGTGGAGTGGTGAGACATTTAGACACACCCTATCGAGTTGAATGCAGGGATTGTTTGCTATCCCGGCCAGAGGCAGAAGTGTGAGATGGATGTAGACAGGCGGTAAAGAGAATCAATCCCAGGAGTGTACTAATGAGGAGATGCGGGGACACCTTGGGAATGCTCTAGGTTAGGGTGAGTCTGGGGAGACACTTTGTCCAGAATCTCTCCACTAGTCCTTAACTCCAGCTTCCCTCCTAGTGCGGCCATGCTGAAGATTGCCGAGATGGAATACAGTGGCGCTAACAGCATTTTCCTGCGCCTGCTGTTAGATAAGAAGTATGCGTTGCCATACCGGGTGCTAGACGCCCTGGTCTTCCATTTTCTGGGCTTCCGGACGGAGAAGCGCCAGCTGCCTGTGCTCTGGCACCAGTGCCTCCTGACATTGGCACAACGCTACAAGGCCGACTTGGCCACGGACCAGAAGGAGGCCCTCCTGGAACTGCTTCGACTGCAGCCCCACCCACAGTTGTCTCCGGAAATCAGACGTGAGCTCCAGAGTGCAGTCCCCAGAGATATAGAAGATGCGAAGGCTTACGACAGCATCTGTGTGTGGCTCTAGTCCTGGGCAGGAGGATTGATCTGGTTGGCTTTCTCTGCCATTCTAGGCTTTGGTCCCTGTTCACTTCTGGAAGCTAACTGGAGTTACCTGATGTCAGCACTCCCTCAACCCAGCCGGTACTTGGTATGAGGGCTGCTCTCTCCAGTTACTGTGTCAGTTCACTGGGGTGTGGATAAAACAGAGTCAGTTATTTATTGAAGCTCTGTGTTTTGGTTCAGTCCCTGGAGGTTCCTGCCTCCCCTGTGGCTAGAGGTGAGAGTCGTTCATGGTTCTGTCACCTACCCTGTTCCTCACAACTGTCTAGACTCCCCTTCCTCTCCACAAAGAGGAAGCATGCGCACACCCACTCCCTACCAATGACATGCTCATGGGCTAGTTTGGGAACACCAATTCTACTGGTGTTCTGCTGGAAAGGTCGTAGTCACCATATTGCTCTCAGTGGAGACTGCTGCAGGAGCAGGCCCTCTCTCTGGGAGGAGACCAGCAAACTCAGAAGTCCAGTAGGTTTCTTCCTTGATTTCTGAACAAGAGTTTTAGACTGGTTAACAAACCAGGGTCAAGTGCCTATTTGTATAGCTGATGAACAAAGAACAATATTTTTCTAATGGCTTAAAATGTGTATGAAATTTTAGTTGCAGCCAGGCATGGATCTCTAAGTTTGAGACCAACCAGGACTAACTATACAGACTATACAGGACTAACTAACCCTATCTCGGGGTAGGGGGCACATCCATGTCCCAGCCATGTGCATCACAGCTGACAACTCCCAAGTCATTCTGCTACATCACTTTTGCTTTTAAAAAGGTAGCCTGTTACAATCCAGTTCATGTATCTGCAAACAGTTTCAATCTGTTGAGGCATTCGCATTTGCTTACACTTTTAGTTCATCTTGGAAATAGGAGGTAAATGACAGAGAAAGTATACCTAGCTCAGCCAAGCCAAATGACTCACCGTATTGTCATGTCTCTACCAGTTTACCTCTCTGCTGTACTGCAAATGGGAACCAGAGAAAGTATTTCCAGACACATTCCTACCCCATCCATCGCTTGTTTTTTAATGTATATGAGCATTGTGCCTGCATGGCATCAGATCCTGAGACTAGAGTTACTAATGGTTGTGGTCAAATCTTAGCTCTCAGGAGTAGCCCATACTCTCAGCTACTGGGCCACTAGAGTCCAGTCCCCGTGTGGGTTTTGAAGCAACATTTTGCAATGTAGCACAGGCTAGACTAGAACAACTTCCTCTGCCCTGTGATTGCCACCAAAGATTACAGGAATAGGCCACCATGCCAGAGTACAGCAAAATTCTTGTTTTACATAAAACTGTCCAGACCTGTTTTCCCATGAGCCCTCTGGGGCATGGTGATCACTCGTTAAACCATAACTTGTAGAAGTACACAGGTAAAGTGGGCCACATTGCCTTTAAGAAGAAATGCTCCCTACCCGAGATAGCTGACTTATGTCTCCCTACCTCTACACACAGCCCCAGGGACTGCAAGAGCCAAAGCAAGTTTTATCCCGGAATCTTTATTAAGGCAGCATGATAAAAATGGGCCACCAGCCCAAACCTTGTAGCCTAAGGAAAGACCTGTATCAATAGGGCTTGGACCTCTCCAGATAGGCTCTGTCCTCCACAGCATCCATCCTTACTCAAACCCTCTGCTGGAAGACGAGGTACAGGGCCTCAGGAGAGGAAGGCATGGCCCCATCCCAGGCTGTAGCAGCTCCTGGACCACAAAGCACTAGCGGAGGGGGAGGGAAACAGCAACCACCAGGGTTACCACCGCTTGTGGGGTACAGGCCTCACTGTGCCCTCTTAGAGTTGTATTCAAAGCAATAAATTAAAGTGACCATCAGCACCCCTCAAAGAGCCCTCAATCACAGAAGCTGAGCAGGAAGCAAAGCAAGAATTGGTAGGTTCTTGCCCCTCTGACCAAGGCCTAGGCTGTTCCCTCTAAGAGCAGCTGGGAGCATGGATTACACAGCAGCCATCAATTTGGTTCCTCACGCACGGTCATCAGGATGCTTGAAGGACCCGAATCCAAATGCACTGACCCTAGGAGGGGCAACACCTTTGGAAGGTGCTAGGGCATTTTGGCAATTGAGAGAATTAGAGCCCCAGAGAGGAGGGACTCACAAGGACTATCTGTTCATATTCCAAATCCTAGGCTGTGAAAACTCACTCCCAACAAAGTTCAGTGTTCAGAGTGGAGCAGTTTACCTAATGATGGTCAGAGAGAACAGAAATGAACAGAGGAAGAGCCCTGGGCAGGATACTGCAAGGGCATACCTTCAGGACCCTGCTCCTCTGGACAAGCCCTTCCTACTGTTAACCACCTCCCAATTGTACCATACATTTAAATAGATTATGAAGGCTGACCTAATGACTAATTTTTGGAGACTTCCTCACAAGCACACACATGCACGCTAATATGCACTGAGAACTGTTTAGTGTGTGAAGAATGGTCAGTCCAGGTCTAGTGTCTGAACACTGTAGAACATGAGTGACCATTCTGACTTGAATGGCAACATTTGGCGATTCATTTTAACAGGCTAGTCAGTCATGTGAACAATGGAGCAAACACTACACCCTCCCTGTCTCTGCAGTTTTGGAATTCTAATCTCTCAACACTGAATGAGTGCCATCAGGTGATTAAATCCTGAATTGCTCTATTTCATGTCAGAGAGAGCTCTCTAACAGTTTGAATGGCCAAGTCTTAATTTAAGCCATTTCCTCCAATAGATTGTAGCAGTATTCAATGCAGCCATTTTGAAAACCCTTTGTATTATTTGTGTTTCCCTGCATGCTTATCTGTGTACTATGTGTGTAGTATCCACCAAGGCTAGGACATCATATCCCCTGGAACAGTATTAACAGTTTTGAGCCATAACAGGGGAATGAACCCGACACCAGGGATTTTCTAGACCAGATGCTCCAAACCAATGAATGAGCTCTATCTGCTGACCTCATGACCACTCTTAATGCCTTTAGCTTTAATGATGTACTTGGAGACTATCCAAACTCTCCTCTCTGACCAAAGTCAGGTCCCTGAGTGTGGAGGAGTCAAGGCTGGTGGGATCTTGAATATGTAAAATGTTACACGCCCTGGTAAAGACATTTCCTAGCATCTCATGAGGTGTCTTAAGGAATTCTATGAATGGACACTGAATTTGAAGTGGACATCTTTGACCACTTATCTAACCCCGCCTTTGTCATTATTCATCTGTCTCACTGTGGAATGAGTCGGCACTCTGTCAGCACATTCACCTTAATTTGGAGGTCTCAGCCTAAGAATCAGACAGAAAAGGGAAGATTGCTATGCATTAAAAAATGCTCATTTGACTTTGGAAGATGTAGGTAGAAAGAAGACAGCAGGGCAGCCTGACTAACAGCACTGACAGCCTCTGCCTCAGTAGATTGAAAGAATAGCAGGGTTCTTCACACTTCCCATCTGGAGCCTATGTCTCAACCAGTCTCCCAGGAAGTCTATGCACCTCCTCTTCTCTTGGAGCCTTCTACAGGCAAGCTTAATGACCCCTACAGGAAACCAAACACGGAGGTCAGTTACCATACCGAGATCCTGGTTCCTAAGCACTATTATTCCCAAGTAGCAGTCCTGTAACGTGTGCTCTGTAATAATAGGAGTATGTTTTTACCTGCTAGTCACAGTCCCTGGGACAGGAAATAGCTAGTGGCATGTAAGAACTTTGGAGCCTGGAAATGTGGGCAGCATGGTCTAAGTCATTAAAAATATCTCCAACTGAACACAACTTCCTTCCTCGGAGTGAGCAAGGCTCCCAGTGTGAGATCTGTAATGAAACCTAAGATTCTTAGGCTGCCACCTCCGATCGTTAGCTTTGAAGATGAAGACCTATGACCAGTGGTTACATCTGGAATGTGGCCCCATCATGACCATGTGTCTGCACTGCCAATTTGTGACTCCTGGGGGTTCAGTGAAGACCTTGGCTGGAGCCCTGCCAAAGTGTCTGAGATTCCTTTTCAAGCAGGGGATCTAACCCCCATATTCAGAGTCAGGAGCCACTCTCCCCAGGCAGTAGGCAAACCAACCAGGAAGAAGCCCATTTGGGGAAACTAGGGGTCTTGGCTGTTAGGAGAGATGTTGGGAGATGTTTGGCCACAAGCCCATGGGGTTGCTTTTCAACCAATACTCACAGGTTCATCTGGTTTTCTAGGCATGGCTTACAGCCCTGGCCTTACCCCACTGGCACCAAAACTATGACCTCTTACACCTGGGGTTTTTCACTGTGCTGTAAGTCTCTATATAAGGCTTCTCCCTCCCTGCAAAGAGAGGCATACACATTGTCCTAGCACAAACAACCGGACATCTGACATCTTTAAGTAAATCTCCAGGCTTTTGCCTGATACTTAGTTGTGGTGCCATCACCACAAGGGGAGTTTCCATTAGACCTAGTTGTGGCACGGGAGACACTTGGCTACTTCATCTTCCCTGGCCTCTTTCTAACACAATCTAGTCAGATGAGCTTTCTTAGCAATGACGTGCCTAGCTTTTACCCCCGCCCCAGCTGTACTATGTTCAATTAAGGCCACATGAGCCTCGTTTCCCAAGTAAATAAAACCCAAGAAATTCTGTTTTATCCACTTCAACTGGGAAGACTTCCCATGCACAAATGTTTTTGTAATAGCCCCACAGAATTGAAATTAATCCTACAATTTGAACCAAAATAGAGAAACAGGGTGGTGAAAGTCCCTCCACTTCAAGACACTATGGAAACAGGAGACTGTTACTAAGTCCCACACACCAGCCTTAAAGTTCAGGTCTGGAGACAGAAACAGGAGGGCAGTAATTGAGCCTGTTCGCCTTTCTGTGGACACAGGATGCTGTAATGTGTGCTCTTCCCGCCAGCCTGGTCCCATAGCCGCATCAACCCCAAATGACCACACAAAACATTAGGATTCTGTTGGCCATTGGCTATAGTTTATTTGGCTAGCTCTGTCTAAATTAACCCAATTCTAGTAGT